CCTCCTCGAGTGATTTGTCGTATGTCGTATAGAATGTATTTCTGAACAGCCAGTTCTTTTGTCAGAATACTTCTGTAAGTACTTCTCCTGAAGTGAGTGAGCAGCCGAAAAAGGGAACAGCTATTCTCAAGAGAAAAAGGCTTGAATGTGAAATCACTGCAATCAGTCGGAGCGATATAAGAAAGAGTTCGCATCAGGCTGCCTTGTCTACTAGACAAGATTATAAGTTCAGCTTGTCAGGATGCGTACAGTAGCTCCGAAAATTGCGCGTGAAGTTAAAAATGTTGCGTCGTGAACGCACACAATCGGGCGCACCGTAATCGGTTTAGTTGCACAAGTTTGAGGTGCGTTTAACAGGTGCTGTTTAATAGCCACCCGGGTCCCGCCCGACCCTAGCAGCCACCGGCCCCCGCGGCCAGGTTACAGTACTCCACGCCGAAATCAAATGGTCCACGCGGTCCGTCTCAGGGCACTTGTCAACCGGGAAGCCTCTCCTCTCTTTCATTTTTTCTTCCTCCTTCCTTCTTTTCCTTCCTTCCTTCTCTGATCCCTCCTCCTTTACCTTCTCCCTCCTACTGGACTGGTAGATGCCTCGTGAAAATACCCCTGGACCCTCGCAGTGAGAGCACGTATGGTCCGTCCCGGTCCCCTTGTGTGCATCTACGGCCAATACAATTAATCTCACGCGCAATTTCCGGGGTACTGTACGCAGCCTGACAACCTGAACTTATAATTAAATGTCTACTAGTAGTGATCAATTCGTGATAATTAGAACAAAACACACCATTAGTGGAACGTAGGTGTGTCGCGCCTCACTCCCACAACTCCTTCTCCCCCCCCCCCGACTGATTGCGACGATATCAAATGAAACCCAGAACCACGGACTTTGAAGTTGTAGTGGCCTGACTTGTCAATAAAACTTCGATCCCGAAATTACAATTACAAACAGAGCGACAAACCGTATAGCCCGGATTTCGTCGTTGCTACGCGAAGCGAGGATTTCTATAAGAACTTTCTCGTTGGTACCAAAACCCTGAAATCGTCTGTAGAAATGTTTTCAACAGAATTTCATGAACATGAACGAAAATTCGAGAATAAACTTCATCTCACTACCTTCATGGCTTTCTGGAGGTCTAAAACGTCTCGTTTGGTGGGAGTTTGCATAAGGGCCACTGGAAATGAGAAGTTTTGTCAAAGAATGTGCTCTATAACTGCTCGTAGTCAAACTTCGGAACAAGAAAATCTACCTACATATGACCTCTTCCAAATCGCCCGACAGCTCCCTCTTCAGCTCATTTTCAAGATCTTTCCCATACCGAACTTTATAGGGCGTTCGAATCTGAAGCAGGATGAAGTATTACTCATTTGGAGATATTTTCCTTCATCTGATGGCTAGGGAGTAGGCAGGCAACTAACCCTCACACGGACAGACTGTTGATTGTAGCTCTTAGAAGGGTACGCCCTACCACTGGAGAAAGTTTTGCAATATACGCCCCTTTTCCAGAGGAGGAGCATCTTCTGCAACCCCCCTCCCCAGCGACAGAATACGACCCCTTCGATGGGGCCACAAACGTACGACGTGCCCTGGCCGTGAAGACTGAGTGCGAGTACCATCTGACGAGAAGTCTCGTCCAGCCTTGTGATAAGTTTCCTGTGGGATTTGTTACCATTGAACGTGGCTATAGCCGTTTTCGCTCGTACGCTAGGGCGTGCTAAGGGGGGCGGGGGGGAGGGGGAGAGGGTGCGTTTGGCGGGGCACCGGCCCGGACCCCACTAATTGTTGAAGTAGCTGAGCGACAACAATTGGTGGAGAGGTGGCTGGCGCCGCGCCAAACCCTCCCTCTAACACGCCTCAGCGTCTGCATGTATTTGACGCAGATATTTTATCTTGGGCGACTGCTTCTAGGACCGGAATACAATGATGGCGTAGTTCGGCTTGGTAGGGGCATTTTCTGGTTTTTTCGACCACTAATGATACCTCCTGCGTAAGCTTGCGAACTCCTGTGAAGCTTTCCAGTAGCATGAGCTTTGTTGAAACCTGACAAATCTCACAAACGGTGAGGTGTAACTTGACAGGGACCAAAAAAGAGGAGCAAAAATACAGAATGCCCTTTCCAAGACGTACAGCGCCCAGTGGATCATCATCGCAATAATTTTACGCGGATAAAAAGTGTGAAAAGTTACCATCTGACGTTGAGCGTTGTTGCATTTGACGAGAATTTCAATTACTTTCTGCTTATCAGTCCCATAACCTCTCATAGCCCTCTCTAACGACTCCGCCGCTTGCTCCTCATCGAACGATGCCGATGCATGGATTGTGGCCATCCTAAAGAAGTCATTGTCTTTTCCCTACACATGTGAGGCCTTTTTAGGGCGGAATTTAAGCGTAGCGCCACCCTCTTTTCCACCAATCTTTGAGAGGGCAAGCCGAACGACAGATTCGGTGAAGTCGTGGCGCTGCGCGCAAAACAACCCCTCTCGGAACAAGCCGGCATCCACAGCCGAATGGAGTGTTCTGTGCAAAATTCCGATTCTTCCAAACAGATATCCGTTGACGAGGAGTCTGAGGATCAAAACTATAAATCTGAGAGAAAAACGATGGACCGAGAAAACAAAGCAGCTAAAGGACTTCACACTATGAAGGACAGGGCATGTGAGCAGTAGCGATAGAAAAGCACGTGTTCAGCGAAAATTTGAAATCGAAAGAATGTGAAAGGAAAAAGAGAAAGGCGGCGATCTGGTCCTGTGGAGCTGTGTGGTTCTCTGGAACGATTCCGCAGTTTCACAGGAGTTTAAAGGCCTGGCAAAAGGAACTAGCAAAGGTGCAAAATGCCCATCTAAGCCAAAAAACACCACGAAGAAAAATAAGTCGACGTCATTTGAGAAAGGGAAATTGAAGAAATTTGGAAGAAAAGGAATTTCCGAGGAACACGTCTATGTGAAGAACGTGCGCATACACAAGTATTCCGGAAAATGTTTTTTCTACTTAAGACTTCTAAAAATCTTCGAGAGTCGATGATTTAGAAACCTGTTCGACAGTCGGTTTGCTCAGAACACGAGCATTTAATGGGGATTAGTGGGACGTCATGTTGCGAAATAGAGGGGACGTTCTGGGCTTGTCCTACACATTATCCGTGTCAACGTTTATCCCAGAAAATGTACAAATGTGAGGATTCTAACACAGGCCCAAAAGTTACCGGCATCATTCGAAATTCCGTAGGAAATTGCTCTGAATACATACACTCCTTATCCCTGAGATGGGTGGGCGTGGCATATTAACATGGCATAGAATGGATTACTCGTGGGGTAATTCAGTTTAAGACGACTGTCATCTTCTTCATTGTCGGACAGACACGACTACAATCGTGTCAAAATGAAAAAATTATCACAAGAATGCTGGCGGCATTCTGACAATATCCACCCCTAGATTGCGAAAGATCCATGCCGTTCGCGGGAGAATACGCTCTTTTCGTTACCTCACCATGGCAGCTCTTACCCTCTCACAACGAAAGGAAATCAATGCGCTTTGGCCTTTCAAGATGAGATGTATACTCATACATTCATCTTCAAGCACTGATTACAATGCTGACCTCCAAGTTTCGTATTGGCGTTGGACTTTAAAGACTTTCTGAATCACGGCCAAGACCACCTAAACTACCATCAACTTTCACGGGCGTACCTGAGAACGTAGTCTCGAGGATTATCCTGTTTGAGTCAGCCTTGTTTCCGCCGGCTTGGGGTGACAGGTGACTTCTTTAGTCGAACCATTGACAACGCTACGGTTAGCGGCCTCCACGAGCTCGACGGCATTTATTTGAGAAAAACTTTGAAAAATTTTCAGAAACAGTGGGAGAGTGGTAGAAATTTGAGATTACTCACGAAGATGGGTGGTAGCGTTTAAAAGAAGGATTGCGCCACGTGAAGAAATAAGGGAGCCGGTCGCGATGGCAAAGTTGGTAGTGAAAGCGATGTGCGTGGGTCGGGGGTGAAGCGTTCGGCGACAGAGGGGGGGGGCATATGCACTTTGGCTACTTGCCATCGACGTGTCGACCCCTCTAGAGAGCCTTCTCGTGAGTAAACAGGTCCTCTTGCACCTGCATTCCGATTTCCTGCTCCGTAATTTGGAACAAACGCCTGTCTGTTGACCCTACCGATATCCTCTTGACTCAGTGAGATAAGCCTAGGAGAGAATCGACACGCATGAGGCGCGGAGCATTGTGCAGAAGTCGCGGCAGCTTTTCATGCGCGTCATTCTCTTGTGGAGGAACACACGTGAATCCGATCGGAGGCAAGACCCATTGCTGAGTGATATCATCTCGCCTGCCCCTTCAACATTAAAAATCAGGCAGGACAACTCGTCCACCATAAGCGCGGTGTTCGCCTTGCCTCGCCCAACGAGGACTGATCAATGTCCATGCGACTTCCGATCTACCAGACCTCTTTCTTACTCGTTTCGGCTTACTAATGCAAGGAATGAGCACTATCTATTATATCAGCAACAGTGTTTGAATGAGTCATAGAATGTGCAATAAAGAATGCCCCACCACACGCTATCATCTGTACCCCTTTCCCATCGGGCACGTCCTGATATCGGGGTGAGTTTTTGCAAAATACGTGAACCACCCCCTATTTCCTGCTGTGGTGCAATCCTCCTTCTCCACGCTACCATCTTCCTAAGTTATCCCGAATTTTTAGCAATCTACCTCTGTTTCCAAGATTTTCCAAGCTCTCCCTCAAATAACTGCCGACTAATGAGCGGGCGGCGAAGGAGGGGGGAGGTCGTCACTAACCAACAACTAATTTTACCTACCGAACTTGCATACGATCCCTCCAAGCGACGAGCAAGTAAGACACCCTCCCCCACGCTACTCCCCCCTCTTCCCATCTAACTAAGGTGTGTCTCCCGATGTTGTAACACGATACAGGAGGAATGAAAAAACATCTCAGGTCAAGTACGACCCCCCCCCACCCATCCCCAATGTACGACGTGCCCTGTTTACCATGCAGCTTCGACATAACAGCGCAGTTTCCATGAGCGAGGTTCGCAATGGCGCTTTGTTAGAGCCAGCGCACTGTTCGGTGTTGATGCATACTGTGAACAAGAGCGGCACAAGTATCGTGCACAAGTATTGCCCGTCTAACATTTTACGAAGTGAACGTGCTGATGTTTTGCTGGATAGCAAACATGATAGTTTCAACAAGTTCTGGAGAAAACACGAAAGTGTTTGGACTGTACGCCACTTAAAAGAAACGCTGCTCAAGAAGACCTGCTCCAAACTCATCACTCGCTATTGGGAACGTAATGTGAGTAAATTAAATGAGAATTAGTTGGCAATAACAATTTCAACATGACGACGTAGCAGTAACTTTGGGATGGGGGGCACACCTATAAGCACGTGTCAGCCTACAATCCTGTGAACTGTATACATGTTAATACCGGACAAAATTGCCACTATCCTGTAAGGGAGACGGCCAAGAGGATCGCAATTTGCCGCTCCGCCGCTCGCGGCGATGGGCGCGGCGTTTTCTTAACTCTTGTTAACCTGTCGATTGGAGCCCTGGACTTCATGTAGACCCCTTCATCGTAGACATTCATGGCTATTTTCAGTTCTGCATTGCCTGTTGTCGCCATCTACTACCTGGAACATCGTTAGTTGCGGGCACGACGTCGCACGCGACGCGACGCCTACCAGCGCTGCGAATAAAGATCCTCTTGTCTTATACCCCCTGTAAGCCTCGTCATCACGCGTCACATATTGTGCAAACTCCTGCCAAACTTGTCAAAATGACTGGGAGGAAAAATAGACAAATGGCTTTTCAAAGACGATAGCACCACTGCGCCAAGGTTGACAGGAATTCGCAGGCTGCCTGACAACAATTTACAAGAATTGCAGGGTGAGACATGTTGTTTGGTATTCACATAATATGCAGTTGACATGATTTAACAAAACTCACGAGGCTCCGCTCCCCCTCCTTCCCCCTCCCCAGGGTTTACGGCCAATAAACAGTTTTCAAGGGAGCTGAAGGAATACAGCTGGGGAATATAAGGAGTAAATCACGGGGCAAGAGTTTCTCGAAAGTTATCGCCCACTGTTGGCATTTTGAATTATCCTAATATGTAGTCGATACCCTTCATTTTTATATTTCTATTTACTTCAATGTTCTCGGAATCCCTCCTACCTCAAATAGGACTGGGAAGGAATGGTGCGGGTCCTTCCTTCAAAGAAAATAAAGGTCAACTAAATAAACCCAAACCAGGAGTTTAGCTATAGATATAATGAGCTGTCATCACTGTCCACTGAATGCACAGTCCGCGGGGCGCACGTCGCCCACTGGGGAATCTCCGGTGTGGCGGGGATCGCGTTTGGCTCGTTGAATTTTTCTGGTAGTCGATTTTCCTGTTTCGCGCACGCTAACCACAACATTGAGAGACTCCCATTGAGGGGGGTCATGTTTGCTTGTCGCTCTCCGCTACCCAGTTTCTCGGGGAAATCCTGGAAAATCGGGAGTTGGGAGAATTTGGGAAGATACCCTGTAGGGAAGGAAGTCGTACCAGAGGAAGAAATTTGGGGGGGGGGGAGGAAAGACCACGTACTGGAACGGGTCTAGTCAGCTGTATCCTCACATTGAACCTACGATCCCATAAACGACAACGGAACTTGATTCCCATGCTACTCGTCCGGCAGCATTGCTTTTCGCCGCAAGGCGCACCCCTATGGCGGATTCTGGGGCGGAGTCACTAAAAAAAGGATGCGTCTTTGTGAGAACATTGCACCTTATGTTTATGAAACTTAGCTTACAACTTTGCGTCGCGAAACTCGTACATTGTTGTCCACCCCACTACCTTTCTCACAAAATTACATTTCCACAGATCATCGCGGACGGTTCCCTCAAGCTGATGCAAAAATAAACTAAACTAATTCATATGATTGAAAGAGAGAGGTGGCAGCTCTGGTAGCCTAGGAGTAGAGATGGAAAATCTCATGAGAAACAAAAACAAGAGGCTGTAAAGAGGCACTATTTACCCTTTTACTGCCCCGACCATCCAGCATTGAGCCGGTTTTTGACCTGACTTTTTTCTCCGTGGACGGATTTGGCTCAAATGTTGTCTAATGAGGTAGTTTGACCTCCTGAATACGGATATCGCACTCGCTTCAGCCCAAAACTTCCTGGCGCTCGCGCCACAGGCGCCAGTGATTTGGGGCATTTTGGCGCCAGCGCCTGTAGCGCGGGCGCCAGGAGGTTTCGAACCAAGCGGATGTGATATTCATGTTCAGGAGGTCAGACTACCCCTGGGAACAAGTTTTCAGCGAATTTGGTGAGTTGGCGTATTTTGGCCCCGGCGCCTGTGGCGCGGGCGCCAGGAGGTTTCGTGCCCAGCGGATGTGACACTCGTGTTCTGGAGGTCAAACTACCTCAGGAACAAATTTTTGCCCGTTCTGCGAAAAAGTCGGTCGAAAACTGGCCTGTTTTGGAAGGCTGTGCCCCAGCCGCAGCAAAAGGTAAATAATGCGGTAAAAAGAAAAAAATGAAATGATAACTTGAACGAATTCGCTATATAGACTTTTCGAGACCTGCTCCGTAAATACCCCGCCAGAGTGCAATATGGCTTTTTGAGCTCAAATGGTCATATTTAGTAAATTGAGGTGTTCTATGGAGATAATCACCAAAATGACTCTATTATTCATCCACAAATGCCAATAATGTCCTACACGAATCCGGTTTGCTGCCCATCTGCTCCAGTTCAATGAATCATCGAACTTTGCACTTTTATCGGTGCACATAAGTTGATCAATCCACAAGTGCGACAAATGAATTGTTTTATGGGGTTATAGCGCTGTAAAGGTGGAGTTGAAGGCGTTGATATTGAAAGATTCGCCGCTGTTTGGTTTGGGTGGGGCATTTTGCACTTTTACTAGTTCCTTTTACTTGTGGTAAACTACACGTCACACCTTGCTGAGACCTGTGGACTTTTGTCAAGTGTAAACGAATTCCCTGTTGAAGCATGGTTTTACAGGAATTTACAAGTTTCTACAGGGACATTGGCAGGGATCGAAGGGAAACAGCAAAAAGCTCCTACCAAGCCGCTCTGCGCTAAGATTTTAATGGGAAGTTCTCATCTATTAATCAAAAGTATGACAAGTTCTCGGCAAAAAGTCGCCCCAATGAGGGCTCCAGCCTGGGTAGCATTCCGTAATCTTTATTG